TTTTGTGCGTTAGCTTGTCGTGTAAAATGTTCTGTTTTCTTGGGTCGGGATAATATGTGTTCTTACTAGTAGCATGTGATGGTTTGCCCCGTGCCGAAACTGGAGGCCACTGCTGAGACAGTTGTTTTACTGAGAATACGCGAAGCATCCGTTTTTTGAAGTTTTACCAAGCTCATTCAGGCCAAGTTCATCTCCATTCTTCATTTTCCTGGGTCTAGGTGTTTGGGTTTCCTTCCCCGCTATCGTTGTTAGGTTCTCATTCCCGCTGTTCCTCCTACCAATGCCATAGCTCGCAACACAGTTCTCGTCTTTCCTTGTCTCTCAGGTTTTGCTTTGAAATTACCATAACAGCAGACAGATGTGGGCTAACTACGGAATTGCTCTTCAGCGTACACATCCTTCGCTGGCCATTGCAGGAGCATAAATGCGAGTGATTTTGGGAGTTTTACAAGAAAGTAGGAAGTGATTCCTGTAGACCTCCGTCTGCTAGTAATAAACCCAACTTCTCCAATCGTTATTGCGTCATCCTTCCGCACCGTACAAATTTTTTTTGCCCCTGTTCCTCTCTATGATTTGCTTGTTGCTTTTACTTGTGTCACGTGATTTTCCATTGATTCCCCGAAGATGTCCGTAAGCTTATCTTTTGGCTGCAGCAGCCTAGAGTTGCATATGCACATCCACTTCGTTTCGCGGCGGCGTCTTTTAGAATTTCCGCTTACTGATCAGCTGCCGTTGGCCTGGATGAATGGCTCGTAAAGCATTGAGGCTTGTTTTTGCCTGCCGCACGGCTTCCCATGTCATCTCGCCTAAGCTTCACCATTGCTGCATTACCATCCGCTAATTTGGCTGACCGTTTTCAGTACTTCCTTAGTTTTACTAGGAAAAATGCAGCATAGCTTCTTTCCGACACGCTTCGAGTTGTGGTAGCTTAGTACCTCGCGCTGTTCCTTGGCACTATGTTATTCGAAACTGCTAGTATACTGCGATGGGGAGGTGACTCATTACGTACCTTCCTCATTTTCAATTTCTTTATTCTTACTTCCTGATACTTCTACACACTCACTTACCTCCTCTTCATCTTCTATTTGTCCTGTACTTTTTCTTCAACTTCTCCTACTTTTTCTGCAGTTTTTCTTGCACTTTCCTTTCTACGTTTTACTTTTGCATACACATTAACTTAGTTAGTCTTCCATCTTAATTACCTTTTAAAATTTCCTTACCACAATCGTCATACTGACGAGGTTCAATTGTGGTAAAGAGAAGAAATGTATACGACTTAATGGACCGAAACATTTCTTGCCTACTTTAATAATTCCTTTCATGTTTTCCATCATTTTTCCTCATATTTTTTCTTTAACCCTAAATTAGTAGAATATCGTAGGTGCCGCGTGTGTCAGTTATGCAAAATTAGCACATCCCGAACATTACTTTCTGGAGAAAAAGGTTTTTTCACTATTTTTTCTTCCCATTTTTTTCATAGTATTTTGTTCTCGGTAGTTTTAGTCGAAACCTCAGAAGAGGTGACTTTTTCAACATTGAAACAGGGTGCTGTAAAGGCTTCGTCGTTCGAATCACTGTTTTTTCACTTTAAGAATGCTTTTTTTGTCAATATATGATTTTTTTCCAGAGACTTGAAGACATGCTACAAGGATTCCAATCCGAGTTGGGCACCATTTGTTCGGACATGAAAAGGCTGCAACAACAGTCCATTGATATTAGCCAACAGTTGCAAAATCGACAGCAAGTACGAGGAGAATTGAGTCAATTTGTGGACGATATGGTTGTTCCAAATAGTATGATACAGTGAGTTAGTTTTTCACATTCGATCCGTCCTCAATTTTTTTGGATCATCTACACGCGCAGGGAATGATCCATTCCGCGGAAAATGACAATTGTTATGCATTTTTTGCATCCATGTAGTGCAGAAATTCATGTTGTCGAGGGGTTGTCTGTGTGTGTTTGTACCCAAAAAAGCTACGAGGCTAAAACTCTGGGACTTAATCTACAGGCGTGTACGGGCCTCATCTCCAAAATGAATGCTCTTGCGGTTCCCACGTACGAGCCCGTGAAAGTTTTTGCTAATTCGCGAACAAGAGAAACTAGAAGGCTGAAATTTTAAACGAATGCTTCCTGACAGTCCTGGCGTCCAGTTTCAATTCTTTTAGCCAGAAGCATCTGCCTGAAAAATAGTCCCGTTGCGGCATAAATCTGCGGGAAAAAGCTGCATAAACCTGCTCAGAAACAAACTTCCTGGCACCCATAGTGTCGTTCTACTACCAGAAGCACATGTTGAATAGTGGGAATTGATCTTCTAATTACCGATATTAAGTCCTAAACTGCACGCCTAAAGATAGCACTCAGACCATTCATTTTTTGGCACTTTAGCTATAAATATTGCATTTTCGGGCCTATTTGTTCCTTTTCCTCATACAGCTAGCGTTTTTGAATTGATTTTATTAATTTTTCCATTGTTTTTCTCTCGAATTTAATGGGGCAGTTTTTCAGAGCAATTGTTGAGCGCGACGTTGGTGATCGAGAATTCCTGGAGCAACTTCATGAGCTGCAACACAAATTACAGTTTTTAAAAGCTCAGGAGTTTCGCGATGCGAAGGCAGCATGCGATGTGCACGATGTTGTCGAAAATTTAAAACTTAAAGTGAGCGCCGAACTCTTATTGTCTACAGAAACTTATTTTCTCAAGCGTTTGCTTACGATGGATCAAATAAAATTATCCATTACTTTGGGTCCTTAATGGAATCCTTTGGGAAAAATCGACAGCGGCGCGCCCTAGAGTTATTTCATTTCTTTTCGATTCCGACCAGCTAGTTAAATACCTACAGTGGTTTGTGCATCCTGAGCTTTAGGTACTGCGAAAAGGAGATAGCTAGTCATTACTTACATAAAAAGGTAGAAGAAATGACGAGTGTGATCTGGTGTTTTAGGCAATGGCGAAGATACGAGAATGGCTGCTTCTGAAAATTTCATCATTCAAAAAACCGCTGACGAATTATCAAATTCCGCAGGGAGCTCTTCTAAAGAATCGGTTTGTGATTTCAGAAATTTTTATTCTTTTTGCGAAATGATTTTTGCCTAAGTCAAAATCTCTTCTTTTTGTTCGCTTTTCGTATGAGGCGGAAGCATTTGAAAGTGTCCCAGTTAAGTAGCACCTACCAGCAGAAGCTACCCTTTGATAGCGCTTTCGGTGGCTCTGTTTTTCGAGAATTGCTTGTAAGCTTGCTGACAGTTTTGGCCTCGTAGCATGCACAATAGCAATTCTTTGTGAAAACGGATGCAAGAATCGTGTTTCTTCAACAGATTTGACTTTCGACATGAAATCTGAGCCGTGCACGCCGGAAATTAGTCTGTGAAAAAAAGGAAATTCACTGCGATGGCAGCCTTTTTTTTTTGAAAATAATCTTCTGCTTGAAAATGAATACATGCTGTCATGCTGCAGTTACTGTTTTTCTTTAGAGTTGTGTTTTGTATTGAGCGAATAAGTGAAACGAGCAGCGCACGAGAATGCAAGGCATTTTTCAAGTTTACTGGGTGAAATTTTTAGGTTTTTCTACGAATTCTTGCTGGCCAATGATCGACAAGTAGCTCGAGAAGTAAGTTTTTTTACCATGTGCTTTTCTTGTCGCATTTTGCACTGTCTTATTCGTTTCGAGTTGCTGTAGCCTGAGCACATTTGCAAATTATCGTTGTGTATCTGCTGAAGAATTGAGACAAAAACGGCCTCTCGTAAGTCAGCTCTTCATTTTTTGCCGGTTGAATCAAAATTTACTGATTAGCACGATGAATTGCAGCTGGTCGTGACGTACCTACGCTTGAAAACACAGCTTTCTGTTTGCTGTAAAAATTCGACCGCAAAAGTATCATTTGTTTGGGTTGAGCATCATCGTTTTCATGCGTTTTGTGCTGCGTAACAGCATTACAAAACGCATATTGTCACGGGATTGTCGGTGTGTGTGTGTGTGTTTGTATGTGTGTCCCACATTTTGTCCCGCACTTTCAACTCGGGAACCACAAAAGCTAGGCGGCTGAAATTTTGGCAGAGTATTCCCCGCCAACGGATGACGCGGCAGATTTGAATTCAGCCTTCCCGTACCCACGGGTAACATGTACGACCCCGTGAAAGTTTTTTACAGGTAAATTATTATCTCGGGAACCACGGGTCTAGGAAGCTGAAATTTTAGGGTAATAACCCTCTGCCCACGCTCAACCTTGCCCATTCAAGTTCAGCGTTCCTGCACTCTCGGGTATCACCTACGGGCTAGTGAAAGTTTTTACGGCTAATCTGGTGCGCGTTGTTTTTTTTTTTTTTTTTCAGCAGTCCCAGAAATCACTGCTGTTCCAGGTGCGCGACGAATATATGGATGTGGTCAGTAAAATGTTTTTCACTTATTTCAAAACGTATGCTTCTCGCCTGTTTCGCTTGTTGGTA